GACAGTGGGTCAGGAGAACCAGTATTCCAGCTGTTGGAACATCTCCAGAAAATTTCTTGCTGAGTATGGAGAGTGTTTGTTCTCAAGATGTTCCAGGATCCGGCAGTGTGCGTCTGCAGTGGGAGCCGGTAGGGACCGAGGACGAGTCAGGGGCAGATTTTGCCGTGACTGATGTGTTGGAGCTTGGGAGAGCTTCAACGGGCCTTTCAGTTGTCTGATGTTAGGGCCGCTGCAATAGGAGAGCTGAGGAAGATTACTCGATGTACATGGAATCGTGGTGGATGGCAGTTGTTGACTATCAAGCCTCCAAGTGGGAGAATGTTGGGTTTGTGGAGGCTTGGGCTTGACTTTTGGCCCGGCCCATTTTACGAAACCCTAGATGCACTCTTCCTATATATATTGCATTCTTGTACTTGTAATCGGTACCACAAGTGAAATAAAAAAATCCTTCTGTTGCAACCGTGGATTAGGGAAACTGAACCACGTTAAATTCTTGTGTGTCGTTTGTGTTCCGTTTCTCTCTTGATTCTCGCAGATATTTGTGTGTGTTGCGTGCATAATCCCCAACAGATACATAAGAGAAAAAAATTATAAATCATTCAAAGTTTTCCATAAAAGAGAAGAGAAGATGCATTCACTCCAAAAAGAAAATAAAGATTTTTTTAAAACGGAGAAAGTACTACTATTAGGCAATAGAATTGTTAGTTCTATATTGTGTTGCCATTATTTTTGACAAACAAATAGATTTATCTAGAATTATTTTAGATGTTTTATTTAGACTTAGAGTCCTATCTTGTGAAGAGAGAGAAAGAGGAAATAACTAGAAGAGAGAATTCTAATTCTACTTGATTTCCTATTCTTGATGAGGAAGCCATGGTTGAGACTCCTAATTACACTTTAACAAAGTTATTTTATTCCATATATTATCTTCACCTTCGCTTACAGTTTTGGGGTGCGAGAATACAAAAAAACCAAAGTAGATCCGATCAAAAGAAAAGGAAGAAGGTGCCGATTTTGACACTGCAAATTTTCTGGATAGCCTGCACGAATTTGATCATAGCCGAAGATCCGAACGTTGGATTTTTCTGAAAGTTTCAGAGAGTATTTCCAACACATTGGGGTTCAATCTGTTAAATTTTCACGTCAATCGGAGTTACGGATCTTCTGTTATTGAAGTTACAATCTACATATTCTCGTTGGTTTTTTGCAGAAAATGCAGCTCTTATTTTATCGATAGTTAGAGTATCAAATCTCGTTCGATCGTGCTGAAATTTTAAGAAGAGTCTAAGGACTTGTGGGCTTCAATATGAACGGTGGAGATTGAATTTCAACGATTCAATCTTACTTTATGAGCTTCGGATCAGCCTGCATCTTTTTTGTGAGAAAGACAAATCTTTGTTTGAAGGTGTACTGAAATCTACGTCCTCGAAGAAGATATTGGAGAATGTGTAACAAGCCTTAGAGATAGACGCAAATAGATTTTGTCGTGAGGTCATTCTGCTGCATTATCTTTTCTACAGCATATGCGGCATAGCTGTTTGATCTATTTGCGTACCTTTCCATTGGCAATTTTCACTCCACCCCCACGATTTTACAAGAATAAGGGTGGACATTGTGATAGATCCAGCAATTCGAATAGTTGGATGTGCACTATCGAAAATCTGGAAATAGCGCCATCAAATTTTTTATTAGATAATATGAAGTAACAAAAAAGTAATTAACTTTGTTTTCAACGTTTATTGAATGCAAAAAGTTTTTCAATAAATAATGTAAAATTTAGTTTATGAATAATAAATCATATGAAATAAATAAACTTTATTAAAGAATTGAACATAAAAATTAGCCTAATTGGATAGGGTCCCCTTAATTTTAGTGGGAGGCCATATACATAAATTAGAAATCACTCTAAATAGGACTAAAACATAGATGAAAGTATCAATTTAATCTACACTGTTGAAACAGAATAAGAAAAGTGAGGGACGTGTTAGAATATAAATAATCTTCCTGGCCTAAAACCAAAAGCTCGAGCTTTTGGTTGAATTTGGTTTCTTGACATAAGCATGTTTAAAATTTATCTAATGTTAGTGGAGTATAGCAAAGTTAGAGTGGTTTAATGACAACCATTCTACACTTATAATTGTCTCTATAGGGAAGATTTTGAACTCAAGTCGCCATACCAACCAAAAGACTTACTTAGTTTCTCCAATTTATGATTGAGATTTTGACTTCTTTTTCGTATGTTATCACTAGTACTGACGCTTTCAAAAAATCTCAGTCTTAGTTAGGGTATAATTAAAATTGTAGAGGCACGCGGTGTATACTAATCCATATACTAAGTCCGAGGCTGGCTAGTATTAAAAGATTTACCCTCCAAATTTTTTACCTGACCTGAGTTAACTGTCTGATCGGTGTTGAGGGGCCTTCGGGAATGAGATTCATCCTTTTGGAAAGTAAGAATATATATAAAACACTTATTCTTCAAAGTTTTTGTCTCCGTTTTTGTCTCCTCTGAGCTAAGGGTCTGATGAGTGTTGGAAAGTCCTCGAAAATGAAATTCATCCTCTTTGGAGTCAGAGTGTATTTTAGGGATCAATGGATACTTCACCATCAGAAGTTAAACTAATCTTTTACTAAGTTAATTCCCTTCTACGATGCTGCAACTGATCGAAAGCCACAAAGGGCTCCCTCACAACGCAGCACCATCTCGATCTCTAACAACAAAAGATTGAGGCGCTGCGATGGATCCGCAGTGCCGTGAGAGCAAGGGCCAGCTATAGTTTTTTTCATTGGAGATAATTAATGAAAAATGCAAAGGGTACAATTTGATGGGTGAATAAAGAATACATGGAAAGGATTGTTGGTGTGCAAATAAGGTGTACTATTCAAAAATAAATATTCATGCGATCTTGAAGATGTACAGAAAATATTGTAGATCTAGATGTAGGGTCTGTTTGAGAATATCGTTAGAGATTAGCGTCAGCGTTGTTTTGGATAAAAATTTAACGGTGTAGATTATTTTAAAAATACTAACTCTAAATGTTATCCATAGATAACATTTTCAAAATGCTAACGCTAATCTCTGATACTGTATTTTCAAAGAGGTCCATAGAGTATATGTATTCCAGTGGGACTACTACCAAACAAGTTTTGGAATCCGTAATGTACAAAATACAAATCGCTCTCAAAATCTCAATGACCGATTTGTTGGAACAATAATAAAAGCAAACCTAATTATTACTCTCTCAAATCTACCCTACAATTTAGATTCCTTAATAATGTACGAACCATTTTCTTACAAATTATGCACCCCAAAAAATCGATCGTTCATCTTCCTAAATGGTACGGAGTATATGCAAATTTTTTTAAAAAAAGATAAAGTAACCCATTATCAAAACAATCTTTCAAACATATACGGACTATGTAATGATATTATGCTTTCTCACGAATTTTAGTAAAAGACAAATTAAAGATAGTTCTTTTTTTTTTTAAATAAGTTTCTTGGAGATTAAATTAGTGAAATTTTAACTAAATAATAACAAAAGATAAGTCATTTCCCGACATGTATTTAAATATTTTTCTTTTTTAAATAATACTTGAATAATGTCTAGTAACGAGAACAATTTTCAATGATAGTAGACATTTAGTAAGAATAATGTCCGGAAATGTTTACTTAAACAATGACCAGTGATAATAGAACCAGGGGTAATAGATCAAGAAAATTATTACTCCGGGAATGTTTTAGTAGTATTTAAAACTAAATTAAAACTAAAATGTACTCGAATTTAAAGAAAAAAACTGAATATACTCTGTGCTTTATATCAAAATTAAACTTGCAATACCAAAATATATTATCAAAAAACACTCTCAAATGTAAAAGTCTAAACATGAACGATATCAATACCAACACACTAGTTTAATAGATGAAACAGATAAAGTCTTATATTGATATAAATTTATGTTTTAGTCAGTAATTTGTTATAAATTGATAGAGCATGGAAGAAGAAAAAAAATCAAAACCCTAATTGTCATTTTCTTAAAACATTGATGGCGGATCCGAACTAGAGTAATAAAAATATACTCGTAATTAAGAGGAATTATCGAATTGCATAAAGCAAAGTTATTTTTTTAAAAAAGATTTACTGCAGTAAGTTACTAGAGGAGTGCACATAGAAAGGCACGGCGGCGGGATTACTCGCCGGGGGGAGCTGATCGGCCGCTAAACTACGCTTACCCGCGGCGGCGGAGGCGGGCCTCTTCCGCTTCTTCTCGTAGCTGACCCCTCGAGACTTGGACTGGAAATCACGGACGTCGCGGAGGAAGAGGCGGACGGCGCGGGCGCCGAAGGGGTTGGACTCGGGCTTGCCGCCGTGCTCCTCGTAGGCGGCGCGTAGGCGGCCGATGAGCGCGTCGAGGCTGCCCCAGGCCTGTCTGAGCGGGCAGGGACACGGCGCCGGAGGGTTGGGCATCCCGAAGAAGGGGCAGTTGTGGTTGTGGACCTTAGTCTTCCCGAACTGGTCCAAGTACCGGAGGAACTCCAGCACGTGGGCCCCGCTGCACATGGGCAGGGACAGCGGCGGCCGGTGGTTGCGGAGGTACTGGCAGAACGTGTTCCAGTCGCGGCGCTTCTGGTTCTCGTACCGGCTCAGGACCGGCGCCTCCTCCTGGACGCCGCCCACCACGACTGAGGTCGGAGTGCCGGCGGCGGCGGCGGATTCGGAGTCGTCAATATCGTGAATTTGGTGAAGGGGGGCTATGAAATCCATAGACAAACAGCCAGCTATACTACTAGTGTTTTTTTTCCTTCTTGTTTGGCCTTTTTTGTCAAACAAAAAGGAAGACTTATATGGAATGATATTTTTGGCTTAATTTTTTCTTTTCTTTTTTTT